ACCAGGACTCCACAAACATCACAAATGTCTTTCTAGTCATCTACTTGATATAAAAGGAGCCTTTGTGGTATACTGGGTTATCTGTCGGGCTGCTAACTACAAGGTCAGCAGTTTGAGTCCACCAGGTGCTCCGTGAGGAAGATAAGGTTTCTGTTCCCATGAAGATTTACAGCCTTGGAAACCCTATACAGTTTTGACTCAAAGGCACACTACCAGCACTGTATATTAGCTACAGTATAGAGTGAGACAGTGTTTCTCTGCTATTCATAAGGTTTTCAATGACTAAATATTTGGAAGTAGCTCGTCACTCCTTCCTAGCCTGTCTTTGTCTGGAAGCTCATCTGAAACCTGCCCAACATGGGTGGCCCTGCTGGTATTTAAAATACCGGTGGCATAGCTTTCATTATCACAGAACCTCACAAGCCACCACAGTAAGACAAACTGACAGTTCGTTATGTTGTGCACAGGGTCGCTATGAGTCGGTACCGACTCCATGGCACCTAACAACAACAATAGAGTGAGAGTTTAGGGAAAAGAGTAGCTGCCTTGGTATAACAACTAATTTCTACAATTTCTTAGTACTTTTAGGTAAGATATGAAAATAGGCTCCATATTGCCAATGCAGACTACATAGACTAAAGAAAGACTGCCTCTTATACTGACGTCACGGAGTGCCGTGGACCCGCCCATCGCTGGAGTTTTTTGTCCTACTGCCGGCGCCTTCTGAGGGCGGTGTTTGTGTCGTCTGACGTCACTGCGGAGCGCCGCGCACGCTCCGTTGGCGGTGGATTCAAATATTTTGACCTGTGTTTCGGGCCCTGAAGAAAACTCCTTGGATTGTTTTCATTGCTTCGGGTGTTGATAAAGTGTGCTGTACGGTGCGATCTCAGGAGCTGAGGTGCTTGAGAGAGAAAATGGCGTTTTTGACCTCAAACCCTCAGAAGAAGATAAAACGAAAGGCTCCTCGCGGCTTTCTAAAACGCTCCTTGAAGCGACAGAAACCTCATCTTCGTCTAGAAACTAATGGCGACTTACTGGTGAGATTCTTTCTTCAGACGGGAGTGGGGCAGGTGAAGCCTTTGTTTCGTCTCCCTTAGCCACTTTATAACCCGTTCAGACCCATGTTGAAGGTATTTTCCAGCCTGGCGTGTCAGTTTCTGTTACTCACGGCTAGTTGCGCCGGGGCCGCTGTAATGTGGGTTTCTGGACCCAGTGAGATGGAAGCTAGGAGACACATCAACTTGAGGAAACTAACAAAGTTCTCGCTTAGTTTTTAAATATTACAGAGAACAGTTTCCAATTATACTCAGTGTACTTGCGAAGGGTTTGAAAGAGACACTTTTCTCAAAGTAGCGATTGGAATTCAGGCTGGATCATTTTAATTTATTGTAAAAAGCATAACTGGCATCATACTTTCAAGCACACCTCCCTTCTCTCTTTTCCCTTTCGTTTTACTTGGTTTTTGTTAAAGTACCTTCAAGTCGGTCCTGGTCTGTGTAAAGGTTTCCGAGCAGCAGTTGCTGAGTTTGAACCGCTGATCTTCAGGTTAATAGCAGTCCAGGGCTTATCCTATTGTTAAGTGCCGTCGAGTTGGTTCCGACCCATAGCGACCCCTATATAAGCTTATCCTATAGCACCATAGTATTTCCGTACAACTTCTACTTTAGAATACTTGCTAAAAACCTCTATTCTAAAGGTTTATTTGTAAGTAAAGTGTTTTCAATTGCGAATTTATTTCCTAGAACAATAATAAAACATTTATTAGTTAAATTTGCAGGAAAGACCACTAAAGTCTGTTTGTTTGATGAAAAAAACCTAGGGATCTGCTCCCTTAACCATTGTTGCTGTTAAGTGCCCTTGAGTTGGTTCCGACTCATAGTGACTGCAGAGGTGCAGCTGGTGAGCTTTCACAACTGACCTTGTGGTTCAAACTGACCTTTTCAGTCCAGCGCATTTAACCCGCAGCGCCACACCAGGACTCCTTAACCACTGTACCCTATGAGTCAGTTTCACATTATCACATAAGGATACTATGAGTCAAAATGGGCACGACAGCATACAGCAACAGTATTTGACCTTGGCTGTGAGTGGCTCATGGGTAGAAGACAAAGTCAGAGGAAGACAAAGTCAGCGGCAGAGAGCTCTCGGAACTGGGACGCTTTCTCTGCCCATACAGGAAGGATCACCTGTATGGAAATAAAATCATAAAGAGTTAGTTTGGTGCCTGAAGTACGTTGCTGTTCTTAAGTGCCTTCTAGTCTGTTCTGACTCTTAGCGACCTTGTATAGGGTTTCCAAAGAGCGGCTGGTGAGTTTGAGCCACTGCCTTTGTTATTCAAACCTACCAACCTTGTGGTCCGGTCCAATGTTTGTCTTCCAGCATCACACCTGGACTCCTGCCTGAAGCATAGTACTCTCCTTAAAAAATAGCCCGAACAAAATCACTGACTCACAATCTTTCTTGAAATAAATTCAAAATTTTTGTGTTGAATGCTTGGAATATATATCCCTCCAGCTGAATGGCCACTACATCCCTAGGTTTAAACTATAGGAGGCAGATCCTCTAGGAGATAAAGATTTATAAATGCACCCACCACTAAGTGCACTGCCCTTGAGTCTATTCTGATTCACAGCTTCGCTACAGGACAGAGTAGAACTGCATCAGAGGGTGTCCATGATGTACATTTTTATGCAAGTGGGCAGCTTCATTTTTTTTCCAGTGGATAAGGTGTTGGATTAAGTGAAAGGGGAGTAGTTCATCCGATCACTTAACCCACACTGTTACCAATTTGTAGGTGATAGGAATACAATGCATGATGATTTCAGCTGTTCTTAATATGGCATGTTTTTTCCACCTACTCTTTTCTCTCCCAGTTTCCATGGAGTCACTCTGACTCATGGTGATCCCATGTGTGTCATTGGCTGATATTTTTGCAAGTAGATTGGCTGACCTTTCTTTTAAGCCACTTCTACCCGCTTCCAGAATGTGGCCCATGAGCAGGTGGGCGCCATAGTTGGTGGGATCCAAGTGACATGGAAAAGAAAGAAGGGAGATGAAATTCGAGGCAAAGATGAAATTGTAGTAGTGGAAGAAAGAAGGTTCTTTTGGCCAGTAGCTGTTCTCAGGTGGTATGCCTATCTTCTGTGGCTTTGATTAGTTATTTTTCACTGGCCTGGATGCCAGTTGTCCACCCTGGTTTTTTTGTTTGTTTGTTTGTTTATGATTTTGTGCTTGCCATGGACATTTCATAATTTTACCCAGTAGATGTCCCACATCATCCATGAAGCTTTCTTCAGTCTGCTTTGATCTCTTATTTTTCAGAACTTCTTTAGCAGTAAGATAGTACATTCTACTATTTAGCTATTGGCATTCTAACAGTTTTTTTCTGGGAATATCATATGTTGAAGTTGTGTCTAATGTGGTATATAGTTTCCTTAAGATAGGTATCTTTAAGGAGTACAACTGTATGTTGTATTACTTTTGTATTTCCCATTATCTTTTAAAAAACAAAACTAATCTACGTTTATGCTGTCTTTTGTACATAATTCTTTTGTTTGAAAATTTCCTAACTCCATTCCTAGTGGTACACTACAGTTCTTTCAGTATCCAGTTCAAATGCCACTTTCTCATTGAAGTTTTTAAGTCCTCAGTCACTACTCACCAAAGCAGGATACTAGAACATTGTCTTTGTGGATTGTATTGTGTCAGTGGACCTTGATGTCCCCTAAGGGTATGGTTCTCATCCCCCATTCCTAGACACTCGGTCCTTCAAGGTGTTTGGTATGGCTCAGAAGTTTCCACAACTTTGCCACCTGTATGTTCAACTGTATTCATGGATGCATTTGCAGTACATATAACTACGTATGTAGAGAACTCCTTTGCCAAATATATATGTATATATGAATCGGGCTGTGAACTGCAAGATCAGCAGTTCGAAACTGTCAGCTGTTCGTGGGACAAAGATGATGCTTTCTGTTCCCGTAAAGATAGAGAGATAGAGATAGATATATATATAGAGAGATTGGTTATATATCAGTTTATATTATATAATATTATATACAATATATTATATATAATATATATTTATATTATATCATGTACTACGATAGTACATTCACCAGGAACTGCCAGAGGTTCAAGATGAAACTGGAATGAGGGGTATTGTTGCTGTTATTAGACGGATCTTCGCTGAAAGGTGTTTACCTGTGCTTTACTGTATGCAAAGCTTTTCGACTGTGTGGATCATGACAAGCTATGTACCATAATAGCAGTATGAGTATTCCTGAATACTTAATTGTGCTCGTGGGGAACTTGTCCATAGACCAAGAGGCAGTCATTTGAACAGAACAAGTGGACACTGAATGGTGTAAAGTTAGGAAAGGTGTGTGCCAGGGTTGGAGTCTTTCACCATACATATTCAGTCTGTATGTTGAGTAAATAATCTGAGAAGCTGCATTATATGAAGAAGATCATGTTATCAGGTTAAGAGGTAGACTCATTAACCTACAATATGCAGATGATACAACCTTTCTTGCTGAAAGTGACGAGGACTTAAAATACTTACTGATGAAGATCAAAGACCACAGCCTTCAGTATGCTTTGTACCTCATTGTAAAGAAAACAAAAGTCCTCACCACTGGACCAATAAACAACATTCTTATCAACAGAGAAAAGATTGAAGTTATCAAGGACTTCATTCTTCTTGGATCAACTATCAACACTCATGGAAGCAGCAGTCAAGAAATCAAATGATATATTGCATTACGCACATCTGCACAAGACCTTTTTAAAGTGTTGAAGACCAAAGATGTCAGCTTGAGGACTAAGGTGCACCTTTCCCAAGCTATGGTATTTTCAATAACCTCATACACATGTGAAAGTTGGACAGTGAATAAGGAATACTGTAGAAGGATTGATGCCTTTGAGTTATGGTGTTGGAGGAGAATATTGAAAGTGCCATGAGCTGCCAAAAGAACAAACATCTGTGTTGGAAGAAGTGCAGCCAGAGTGCTCCTTGGAGGCCAGGATGGCCAAACTTCGTCTTTCATACTTAGGACATATTGTCAGGAGGGACCAGTTGCTGGAGAAGAATATCATGTTTGGTAATGTGGAGGATCAGAGAAAAAGAGGAAGATCCCCCAGCAAGATGGATTGGCAAAGTGGCAGCATCAGTGGGCTCAAGAGTGGCAACAATTGTGAGATTGGCCCAGGACCCGGCAGTGTTTCATTCTGTTGTGCATAGATTCGCTATGAATTGATACTGACTTGCTGACACCTAAAAACAACAACAACAATGTGCATGTGAAAGTTGTACAGTGAATAAGAAAGACCATAGAAGAATTAATACATTTGAGTTATGGTGTTACAGGAGGATATTAAAATTACCATGGACTTCTAGAAGAACGAATTTGCATTTGAAGAAGTACAACCAGAAGCCTCCTTGGATGGCAAGACTTCTCTCGTACGTATTGTCAAGAGGGGCGGGTCTCTGGAGAAGTACTACGTCATGCTAGGTATAGTGGAAGGTCAGCAAAAAAGAGGAAGACCACCAATGAGATGGATTGACACAATATAAGCAACAATGAGCTCAACCTTAACAAAGATTGTGAGGATGGTGTCGGACTAACAATTCATGCATATAGTTCCATAACTGTTCAGCTTGAGTGCCTGGCTACGTATGCACTTAATGCATTGTTACTTCTTTTATTGCATGATTTTGTATGTAATATTTATCTTTGTTGCCTTTAATTCTTGTGTCCTTCCAGTGCCTTCCTTTTACTAGATCATTTTGTGCTGACCTCCCCAATGTTGTGTGTTGCCTTCCCCTTTATGCATGTTAATGTGTTTATACCCTCTGGTGTGATGCTGTGAAATAAGTGCTCAACCACAAGGTCTGTTTGAACCTCAAAGTTGGCATTTCAAACTCACCAGCCGTTCCTCAGAAACCCTATATAGGGTCGCTATGAGTTGGAACCAATTTTATGGCACTTAACAACACCCTCTAGTTAGTGAATTACCCTAACATCGTTTCCACCCCTGGTATCCTTCATAGAATATCTGTGTATAAAACTTTTCTTGACTTTTTTGTAGGATTAGTCTGACACAGTATTTTGTGATTGACTAATTTCACTCATCATAATGTTGCCCAGGTTCATCCATGTTATGAGTGAGGTGTTCTGTAGATACATCTGTTAACATGTTTTTGAATAGATTTTTCGAGTTAAGTATCTAGTTAAAATATCTGCTTAGACCTTAGATTGTAGAATAAGTGTTGAAACATAATGATGCTTTACAATAATGTTTTGAACCTTTGGCCTACTCTGTATAGCTTTGTTTCATACTGTTGTTAAGTGATGTTGAGTCTATTCCGACCCATAGCGACCCTGTATAGGGTTTCCGAGGAGCGACTGGTGAGCTTGAACCGCTGACCTTGCAGTTCAAATGGCTTTGCAGTCTGGCGCATTAACCCACAGCACCACACCTGGACTCCTAGGGGGCTTCAAAATGTTCCTGGGCAAATTCCATTATCTTTTAATTCAGTTTTCAATGAATGTCAAAAAAAAATTTTTTTTTTAATGAATATAAGACAAACCAATATGGAAGCAAATTCTATATAGCAATAAAAAGATTAGCTAAGTGATGTAATTACAATAAGTAAATATTGTTATCATTTGTTAACCGTAAATTTTGAAATCCTTAGTTTTAAAACTCACTATTGCAAAGCATCAGTTTTAAGTTTTTCAATCCTTTCCAATTTCCTCTTTTAAAGGTTCATCTGAACTGTTTACTGTTCATTCGTCGATTAGCAGAAGCGTCTAGGATAAATGCTTGCGAGAACAAGTGTGGAATAATTAAAAAGGAGCATGTCCTTGCTGCAGCAAAGGTAAAAATCTGTATTTGTTTTCTTGAGCAAGAATTAACCTCTTTTCATGAATTCTTCAAAATGTCACCTGGTTCATTTTTGGATTCCTCATTCAGTTTAGTTGACTAAGTTGAAGCTTTATTTTTCATTTTAATGGATTTTAATTGTAGGGTAGCTTTTCCCTGCTATATGCATCATGTACATTTCTGATAAAAAGATTAATAGCCTCTCCTTTTGTTATCTTTTAGGGAGAAATTAATTTTGAATGCTTAATTTGTGGAATTATTTTATATTTAACTCATTGTTGTCTCTTTCAATGCACAGCAACTCTGCTAGGCAAAAAAAATTCTTGTGGTTAGATAAATGTTGGTAAACTAAAATGCTATACCTTCTTCTTGAATATTC